TTACATTTCTAGTAATTAAAATTTCAACACCGAAAAGGAATGATCTAAAAAAAGTCAAAATCACACGAAAGAAAGAAGAGGTTGGGATATGCAAATGATTATTAGTATATTTCAGTGAATTTAGACGACGCAAGAGGGAGAAACGACATCTGAAGCACTGCAAAAAAGAGAAGTTTTACAGTGGATTTCTAATTCGGAAAGTGCTTTGTAAGGTCAGAGTTTGCTCAAATTTCGTGTTATGCATCGAATAATAATAAGAAATTCTTACCAGCAAGTGCCAGAATTCGATAGAGGCAGGATCGCTGCCTATCGAGAAGTGTGGATTATCGTTTCGTGTTATCGCCCGTCGCACTGGTCGACATTCAACCAGTGCCATGCGAATAGGGAGCTAATGGATTGCTGAGGGTCATAGTGAATGGTATGCAGTATCCGAACGCCCTCACCTAACTAACGCACGAGAGGACAGACATATTATGAGGTCAGCTCTGAAGAACCGTACAACCACATAACGGATTATTAGCGCGAAATGGGAATGTTTGCAGCACGCCCAGTTTCCGCTCGTACCGTGCGTCGAAGCAACAACGTGAATTATGAGCTCAGCGACCATTACTTCGTCTTCCTTTGAGACTGCAGCTAGAGAGAGAAGGCAACTCTGCTGCGCCGAACGACAAAGCTGGACACAGGAGTGGCACAATGCCGTCTTTTCAGACGAGTTCCGGTTCTGCGTGCAGTATTTTGATGGCCGGATGCGTGTCTGGATGCTCCGAGGCGACCACACGTTGCCTGCTTGCATTCGATATCGGCATAGGACCTTGCACCTGGTGTGATGGTTTGGGTAGCCACTGGGTACACGATAGGTGACGGAGGACGGGGGGCGCCTGGTGTCTAACATAGGTAAACAGGCATATGCCCCGCGTCCTCCACTATCTAGAGGCACTTTGGACGGGAGTTCACCTCGTTGGCATTTGGTCGGTACGACTGCTGACCGTACGGTCCAGGCTTTGGGACAGGGCGTCTTGTGCGAGGCTCGCGTGTGGCTCCTCAAGTCGGACTCTAGATAAGGGAGGACGTAGCGCTATACCAATTGATCATCGTGGTAGAGGGATGGTGCCCACGCCCTCCGTCACTTATCACTATCTAGAGGCAATAAATAACAAATTTGAACGCAAATCGGTATACACATTTCTGACAACTTACGTCCAGTGGCTGTGCCGTATCTTCGAGGCTTGCCAAACACCATCTTCAAACAAGATAATACAAGACTACATGTTGTAAGTCGTGCTCCATACATAGGGTAATCGACTGCTTCCCTGGCCTGTCGAATACCTTGTATATCGAGGAAGTCTGTCAACCACTGAAAACATCTGGTAATGAGTTACTGAGAAACTTGCCCCCCAACCTTCTCCAGCTATTGGTTGATGAAAGCTATCGGTTGATGAACCATATTTGGTTGATGAAATGTGACATAGACCAGAAGCAGCTTTGAATGAGTGGCCCGTTTCTGTTAGTTCGACTCAATGAGTAACCGGGTAAAAGCTGTTTTATGTGCTAGGGGTGGTAGCTGTTTCGACTAATTTCGCACCCCTGCAACCCCCCAAACCGCTTACACATTTAATCATTTTGTCTTCATGCCATACTGTTTACCTACAATACGTGAATTTCTTCATCCGCCTATTAAATTATAAACTTTTTTTTGCTGCACTGCATTAAAAGTTATTTCCCAAGAATTTTTAATTAAAGATATATTTCTCTTTCAATTAATTCAGTTTTCACTTCGCGGCAAGGCAAAAACACATAGAAACTCAAAACATCTTCATTCAAAATTGTAAAATACAGAGAACCCTAAAACACAGAATACAGTTTAAAAAAAACAATTTTTACATTTAAAATTGAAGTTTTCAACGATAAAACAACTAGTTCGGCCAGAAGACACTACTCTTCTAAAAATTTCAAATGTAAAGAGAAGGCGGCCTCGTTAAGCCTAGCGTGACGTAAACTTTTTAATTGTTGCTAATTTTACAACTATTGCATGCATATTAACAAAAGGCATGAAAACCTTAACCGGAAGATAAGAACAGCATAATTCAAACACTTTTAAAACAACAACAACAACAAAAAAAAAATAAGAACAAAAAAGAGCTCACCTAGCCAGTTAAGAGAATGGGAATATATATATCTACGTTTGATGCGGCCGATTGGAGCGAGAAAGAGGTGCACAACTAGATGTTATAGCAGTCCCATATACAAATTTGAATGTTGTACGGATAACTCATTTTTGAGTTATTATAGATAAATACATGCGTACGTACAGACGTCACGAAAAACTCTCTTCTGCATCCATTTTACAATCAGTTTTGGAGAAAAGAGTCCTTTATTCTGTCGGTACGTATAGATGCCACGCAAAAACATCCTTCATATGGATTGATATTTTCCAAAATAGATATTTTCATTGAAATATGATACGCGAAATTTTTCGCGGTTACGATACTTCCTTTACTTCGTACAAGGAGGTAAAAATCAATAATTTTCTCCAAATTTCGAGCCTTGTAAGAATGTGATGAAGTCCTTTTTTGATTTTGATGTATACACATTTAGTGCGCAGTTTCCTGATATTGAGCTTCGAAGTTGGTATATAATGTACAATAAATTAAAAAGAAGTAGTAAAGTATCCTTGCATTTCTGCTAATTTGCGTGATGTAGCCAGAGCGCAGCTTATTTCTAATCTTGTATTTTGTGAAATAATGCAAGTGCAAATTTTAAGTGAAATGTACTTTTACATCATTTGTTCAACTTATGTGCAGCGTTCCAAAATGTTTTTAGCGATTGTTTTTCTGATCACGTAGATACTGAAACTTCGTTTATCTTTAGTCAGGGATTATCATTGTCGGAAATGAAGCCTACGTCTTACGCTCACTGGATCACTTGAAAGATGGAGGAAGTTACAGAGATCCTTCTGAGGAACCTCATGTCCTTCTCAAAATGGAAGAAGATTTGTCTCACTACTGCGGTGTCGATCATAAAAGTAAATCAGCACTTATTTTTATATTTTTTTAACTGTCCTCTCTTTTCTTGAATTATAATTTACGTGATCATAATGTACACACACTGGCCAAAGAATTAGAAACCTTTGAGATTTTCATTTCAGTGCAAGCTAGGAATGAAGTATGCTAATGTTTTTCATGACGTGGTTTACATATTCTTAGAATGCTATTATAAGTAAGGTGCAAGAGTGTTTTTAAAGATGAATGAAGTAAAATGAGAAAAACGATAGATCTTTTCTTTCACCATTTGAAAAAGGGCTCATTGTTGGTGCCCGTTTTGCAGGGGCTCTGATTCCGAAGACAGTAAATCTCACTGGGTTCTCAAAAGCAACCATATCGAAGGTTTTCTAAGTTGGAATACGAACCCACAGTCTTTCTCCAGAGGGCGTGGCTGCGGTTCGGTGTCCGCCGATAATATCGCGGCAAAAACATCGCGGACGAAAACGTCGCGGACAAAACAACGCAAGGCGAAAACGTCGCGCTACAAAACATCGTGGGAGAGAACATCGCAAAGAGAAAACATCGCAGTTCTAAAACATCGTGATACAAAACATCGCCATCGAAAATAAAGCGGTTCAAAAACTTCGCAGTATAAAAACATCGCCATCGAAAACATCGCGGTAAAAAATAAATTATCTACAAATCATCGCATGACGATAACATCGCAGACATGTTTTTTTTTTCAGGTTTAAATAACTGTAAATGGACATTCCCCAAGATGATTTGTGAGCGCAAGATGTAAAGAACGTTAAATTTTACTTTCACATTTTTTTTTATTAACTAATACATTTTTGCTGAAAAAGTGAGACGGAAACTTAAGCATAGAAAATTAAATGCAACTTAATAGATTATACTTTTCATGAAAAATCACCAGTAAAAACTTTATAAAAATGATTTATTAATGGCCTTTGTTAGTTAATTATGTCGGTTTAAAATTAAGTGCTGTAAGTTGCATTAATTTTCTATGCTTACGTTTCCTTCTTATTTTCTCAGCAAAAATTTATTAGTTAATCAAAAAATATGAAAGTTAAAACTTATCCTTCTTTCCATCTTGCGCTCACAAATCATTATGGGAATATCCATTTACAATTATTAAAGACTGCAATAAGCATGTCTGCGATGTTATCGTCATGCGATGATTTGTAGATACTTTATTTTTTACCACGATATTTTCGACGACGATGTTTTGAAACCGCGAAGTTTTTGAACCGCTTTGTTTTCAACGACGATGTTTTGTACCACGATGTTTTTCTCCCATGGTGTTTTGTAGCACGACGTTTCCGCCTTGCGTTGTTTTCTCCGCGACGTTTTCGGCTGTAACCCTGCGGTTCGGGCACAGTTTCCCAAGAGAGTGATCGGCGTCATCTCCGACGAATTGTACGGCAGAACAGAGACTCTACTTTGCTTCAGCTGACACAGATCGTCAACCAGTGCCTTCCCCAGCAGACTTCAGCTCGAACCATGCGCAGAGAATAGGAATGCATAGTCGGGTGCCTGTGAGTAAACCACTCGTTTCTGCCCGACATGCAGGAATTCGTTTGCGGTCGTGTCGGGAAAGAAGACACTGGACATCTGAGGATTGGAACACCTTATTTTGCACTGATGGAAGACGTTGAATTTGGCGAGAATCCCATGAAGCTATGAATCCATCTTGCCTTATATTAAGGTAGGTAAAACCCAATTTGGAGTACTGGGAGTTGAGAGGGAATCGGAAGGAGGATGTACTACTGACTCTCTTACGAATTAGTCATTGCAGAATGACACATCAGTATTTCTTGAAAGGAGATAATGAGCCTATTTCTGGCACTTGCAACATTCCCGTTTAAGTCAATCACATTTTAACCTGCTGTCCTGCTTTTAGTCAGAAACGTGAATTTTATTTTAACTCTACGAATGTTAACTTAACAAATCTCATTGGAAGAAACCCTCACACCAACCTCATAAGTTTTTTAAAAGATATCTCCTTTTACCATATGATTTCAACTACATTTCATCCGCTCTACCTGTTGCTAGAGCATTTTTCAGTCATTTCTGCCTGGACATTTTAAAGTCGTTTCTTCATGCCTTCATCAGCATTTCAGGTTTATTTCATCAATCCACTTGATACAGTGTGTTTATGCATCTTGAATTTTACTCACCATTTGTCTGGTGCATAATAACCCTCGAGGTTTTGTGCCATTTAAAAAATCAACCAACCAATCATCTTGCCTTACTCGCACTGCGCAAGGGTATGGTAGTAGTATCATGACATGGGACATGTTCTACTTTCATGGAAGTGGTGTCCCTCGAGGGTAAACGAACAGCCATGAGTTACCTAGATATATACTGGAAAATCAAGTGCACCCTGCAATGTTGCATTTTTACGCTGTTGGCGACGGATACTCCATGGAAGATAATGCAACTATACATCGTGCCAGAAGTGTTTAAAATTGGTTCGCTGACCATCAGTCTGATTTCCAACATCTTCCCTGGTCACCGAATAGCCCGAATTTTAACCCCATAGAAAATGTGTGGGATATGGTTGAAAGACGCATCCGGATAGCACTCTAATTAGGTAATATATGGTATTATCTGGATGTGAATGCACTCCAAAAACATGTAGACTCGATGCCTAAGCGAATCAGAGAAGTTATCCGTACAAAAGGTGGTCTAATAAAATATTGATCTTGGGTTCCTAATTCATTGGCCAGTGTGTGTAATGGTAATAGATAATAAAGTGTATAATAAGAGAATGACTTAAAAATAAGCACATAATAATGTAAACGAAAGACCTGTTTTTGTGCTGTGTTATGTGTAAAATTTAAAGCTAAAAGAATGATATTAAAAGTGAAAAAAAAATAAAATGTACTTCTCAAATCACAGAGAAAACATAAATTTAAAATATTCTCTAAATTTCCATAGAAATTTCACAGTTCTTTAAAAATAAAATTATTGAATAAATTATAAAATTAAATTGATAATATATTATACAAATGTGCTGCTAACCGCCTAGGCGATAAAAGTCTACCCCATGGTTATAGCAGCACTCACAACACAGATTAAAACAAAAATACAGTTAAAAATATCAAACCAAAACGCAAGGGTAAAACGTCGCCATACAAAACGGTCACGGGGGAAAAAGCCATGAACAGCTTTAAAACATCGTGAAAGAAAACAAAGCCGGGCAAAATTTTTCAAATTTTAAAACATCGTCGTACAAAGTTGAAAAATTTTAAGTAAATTCTAATACAATGATTTTTAAACACTAGAAGAAAAAAGTAATATTTTTTCCTCTATAGTTCATATTTTTGTCGTAACAAATAAATTTTGACTGAAAAAGCAAAAAGTAAATATCGAATTCAAATTCTGGAAACCATTAAAAATTAATATTACGTCTAGGTAGTTCTAGAATTTTAAATTTATGTGTCTTCCTTTTCCAAATCTTTTTAAACCGTATATCTTTAACAAAAAGTCTATTAATGCGGCTTTATAAAAAGAGATTATTTGAGCGATGACTTTTAATATAATTTTAAACTTCTATTAACTGCAATGCATAATAGTGTTACGAAATGAAGGGGCGCGGTAAAGATGGTTTCCCCACAAAGCAGTTTTAGAGTTGCCATAAAATGGCAAAGGAAGACAGGGTTGCCACATCTGGCGAGAAATCGCCCATCTGGCGACAAACCATGGACGGTTGGAGAACCTTCTGGAATGAATTCTTACCGGTTTAGCCCAGAATGTTCCCGAACACAAGCTGAAAGCTATATAAATCCCGCTGGTCCGCAGTCAATTAAAGTGCGTGTGCCTCGCATATAGTGCGAGAGAGTTAGTATCGAGTTGGTGTCTCATCTAGCGAGTCAATCCTTGCGGAGTCAATCGAGTTGAGAGCCGGGCAGCGAGTGCCGAGTGGGTAATCGAGTGCACTGAAGGAGTCTTTTAGTGTATCGCGGTTAGTGCATCGTCGAGAGAGAGTGTTGAGCTCCGGGAACGACTGAACCGAGGAGTCGGGAGCTGTGCTCGTGTGTCGTCGAGTGCATAGCGAGTCTGGAAAAATTCAAAATCTGGAAACCAGTAGTTTACGTTGTGAAGTGAAAACGTTACATGTCGGTTCACTTTTCAAATTGTTGCGAAAAAAATGCGCCAAGATAAAGTTTTAAATATCTCCATAAATTTCTCCACTTACTCTCGATACTCGTGGAGAGTCTCGAGAGTACGTGGAGTTCCGAGAACGACCAAGCAGAGTCGGGAGCTGTACTCCGGAAAACAGAATCGGCTGCTTTGCAGGAAGCTGCCTCCACCGTGATAGCCTGATAACCTGAAGGCTGTGTCGCTGATCGTGTCAGCGTATTTATAGTAGACCTTCGACGACTGTAAAAAGTGTTTTGGAGCTGTCCTGACAATACTGGCTAATAAAGTGTTTCGATACTTTATCCAGTGTCGTCGTTATTCACTTCAAATCTACAAACCCCGTACGAACGTGAAGGAAGAAAATAACGTAACAGCTGGTGTCAGAAGAAGAGATAAACGCAACAATATCAATGTTTACTAATTTCCAAATTCTGAACGCTTGAATTTCCTTCTTGCTTTTTCAGTAAAAATTTATTAGCTATACAAAAATATGAAATACGAAGGTTAAAATATTATTTGGCCAAAGGGAAAATTTGCGCAAACTGGCTATTAATTTCGTTTTGGCATTTTATGTCACTTCACTATAAATGTCGACTCACTTGTCAAATTGTTGCCACCAAATATTAGAGCCCTGCAGTATATTTAAAGAAACTAAATAATGAAGAATCTACATAAATGTATGTATATTTCTCGCATTGTGGAAAGGCAGCGGTATCTAGACACATCTAATTTTGGACAACGTAGTCCTCCATTCAAATATGGGCATCTGGAAGCCCAAATTTGGAATTTGTTTTCTTATCTATTTCATATTCTGTAAAGCATTTATGAATTTTTGATTAAGAAACTCAACGATTTTTAAGCGAGCCATGGCAATATTATACGAAAAAAATAATTAAATCTCCAGCGCGTGAGATTGCGCATCGGAAATTCTAAAGATATGGACTTTTTAAATTATTTTGTTATATTGCTGTTGAATTGAGCTTTATAGTTTAAGTGCGAAGAACATGATATTTAATAAACAAAGGTAACACACAAAACGTTAAAAAAAGCCCCTTTGGGCATAATTTAAATCTTAAAAATTTCGTTTTTTTTTAGCCCAAAGGCGTTTAATTTCGTTTTGGCATTTTGCGTTGAAAACGTTACATGTCGGTTCACTTTTCAAATTGTTTGTCACCAAATGTTATTGCTCTGTGTTATATTTAAAGAATCTGCATAAATGTATGTATGTTTCTCGCAGTGTGATAAAACAACGGTACGTAGGTATATAATACAACGGTAATGGTATATACGTATATCCAGTTTTGAATAACGTATTCTTTCACCGAATATGGGCATCTGGAAACACTAACTTGGAATTTGAAATTTGTTTTATCATCGATTTCATATTTTGTAACACTTCAACGAATTTTTGATTGACAAACTCAATGATTTGAAAGGAAGCAATGGCAACACTGTAGAGGGGGGGGGAATATCTCCAGTGCGCGAGGAGACCCTGCATCGGAAATTCTAAAGATGTGCTAATTTTAAAATTATTTTGCGATATTGCTGTTGAGTTAAATTTTATGGTTTAAGTGCGAAGAGCATTTAATAAATAAAGGTAAGACACAAAAGGTTAAAAAAAGCCCCTTTGGGCGTAATATAAAACTGTTTTAAAATTAATTTTGAAATTTTGTATATAGGACTGCTATAACATGTAGATGTGCACCTCGTATTTTGGTTGCAATCGGCAGCACCAAACGTATATAAATATATTTATATATATCCACTCTATTACCCGGGTCAGTGATCTCAGTTTCTTTACTCTTATATGTTTGTAAATTGTACATTTTTTGTTTTAAAATGATTAAATTTTGTCGTTCTTATCTTCCGGTTGATGTTTTTATGCCTTTAGTAAATCTGTATGCAATATTTTTAGAATTATCAACAATTTTATTTAGAATTATCAATTTAGAATTTCAATTAATTTAGAATTATGAACAAGTTGTATAAGTGCCGCCAAGCTTAATAAATTTTTTGATGGCGGCTCTAGCTTGTTTACCATTGAAACAGCAGAGTAGTGGATTTGTTGCCAATCTAGAGAAACATAGCTTCGCAACAACAAAGATAACGCCTTCATTTAGTATTACGAATTAAATCATGCTTAATCCTTTCTGGAATTTTTTCGAGGAAATAAGTGTTTAAGATTTACTTCGTAATTTTTAGTACAGATATTTTGAGTTTTTATGTATTTTTGCCTTGTCGCGAAGTGAGAACTGTATTAATTTAATGAGAAATACTGGATCGCCTGTGAAAAAACTGTTTCTTTTTTTGTTGTTGTTGTTCTTTGCTTAATTTCTTTTGTACATCGTTTTAGCTTTATTATAGTATTTGAAAAGAACATGTGGCAACGATTAGATAATTCTTTAAATGATATAAATTTTGTGCATTCTGAGTTATAATATGAACGAAATATAATGCTGTTAAATGAAGCTAGCGCCAGAGTGTCGCGATGGCAAACAAAGTGAATTTTAAAGAATGCATTTATTCTATTGTGGTTTATGCGCTGTCGGAGAAGTAGGTTTAATTCAATCCAATAAGTTTAAACGGAATGCAAGAAAAAATGCGTGTAATTTAATATTCCGTACAAGGAAGTCATGTGGTGTACACATCAGATTTTTTTCTTTTGTGCAAGGTGTACATTGATCCAACCTTTCTTAAGATGCTCTTTTATGTGATATATAAAAAGCGGGAGAGAGATGAGGAACTAAGTTTATCAATTTCTTCAACTTTAGAGTTGCCGCAGAATGCAGAAGAAAATGAACCTGAGACTCACAGATATCGAAGATCAGATACGAGTGGACAGAAAGTAATCGAAACCGCAGTTTATGTAGACTATCCTCTTTACAAGAAACTCGTTGTACAAAAGAAACAACCCTCGAAGGTGTTACAAGATACAGTACTGGCCATTGTCAATGAGGTAAATTAGACTTAAATTTTATGACTTGCATATTATATCACTTAAATTTTAATTGGTAAACATAAATGTTTTTAGCTGCGATTCCATCTAGAATTTTTTCTATTCCTTTTTGATACGAAGGTGTAATTTATTAAAAATTTCATAAATTATTAGTTGTGAACACGACAGAAAAAACATCAGTGTGATTCAACGTATTTAGAATTGTGCTACAAATTTCTTAATTTTAACTGATTATAATGGGCGTTTTTTTCTTCGTGCTACATAAAGAATTCCACTTTCTAGATTACAATGACATTTTAGCTAATCTTTGGAATATAGTTACAGGTAGTTTGGCGACATTTTGGTAAGGCGATAAAGGTTACTAGCTAGGACTTTTAGCAGTGTACATGGATACAGTCAAGAGTGTGCGCAATGCCTTTTTTTTTGCAATTCTGGGATGTTGTTTTAAGAGAAAATAGGTCGACGTGTACATGGATACCGCGTATGTGCAATTCTTAAAAACGCGGCAAGCAGTTTGCGATTCTGCACTTTTACCCAATTTCGTACCTAATCTTCGTCATGATTAAGCACTTTTGTTCCATAAAAGTTCTAGCATAAACGTAATTCGGCTAGCAGATTGTTTGGGAAAAAAAAAAAAAAAAAAAACCCTTTACTTCGTGAAAACAAAATGGCGTCCAAACGAAAACTAGCAGGTTGCTGTAGCCAGGTTGGTCGCCAAAATATCGCCAAGTTACCATAATCCCAAGAAACAGTAAAAAAGTAACAGATATCCTTATACAAGTAATTACAGCTGTTTAAAGAGATAAAAGCACCCGCACACATACACACACAAAAAAATTGAGAAATGTAAATATTATTGCGATTTACAGTCGTCGAAAAACTACGGCAACCATGTTGAAACAATCAGCAACATGGTCTTTCGGTTATCAGGCTATAACTTTGAAGGCAGCTTCACTGTAAAGCACTAAAGTACAGCTCCCGACTCAGGTCGATCGCTCTCGAGCTAATCTCTCAGCTCAAGACACTGCTACTGAAGTCAGCATACTCTGAAGGTACTCTCCTACTCAGCGTCCAGACAGGGTATATATAGGTTTTTAACCCGGCCTTCGAGAACATTCTCTGTTAAAGCCGATAAGAATTCGCTCTAGAATGTTCTCGCTCTGTCTATGGTAAATCGCCAATTTTGTCGCCAAGTTTGGCTAACCCTGCATTTGCTTGTCACTTTCTGGCAGCCCTAACCCCACTTTACCGGGGAAGCTACCTTACCTCAGGCTGCGCATTTCGTAACAATATGATTGAATACTTTCCCAAACTTACTATTTTCAATAAATCATTCAAATTGTTCTTCATAATTTACGTGCAGTTTGAACTAATATCACAATATAAGGGAAAACACTTAACAGAAAATGAGTCTCTTAAGGGATGTTGGAACCCCAAAAATCTTCAAAAAATGGTTATTTTGGATTTTTGCATTTTCAAATTCCCTACACTTTTATCTTTCTAAAAATACCATTCTTTAATCTCTATGAAAATTAGAACTGTAATAAATCTAGTTTTAATGTGTCATCGAATGCTTTGATCAATGAGAATTTTTACATAAAAATGCGTTTTTCTCCAAACGTGAATTTTTTTATACTCGATGTACCTTTTCTCAGGAACTACTGCTCACAGGTATCTAAAATTTTTATGGCTCATTTATTAGGTTTCCTAATATTTACTGAAATGAGCTTTATATGATAAACTAAGAAAAAAAAATTTAAAGTAAACAAATATTTATTTATTTATTATTTTTTTTTTGGTACGAGAAAAGTGCTAAATGTTTACTATGCCTAAGAAAATATTCTGTAAATTACTCTAAAATTCAAAATGTTTCAAAAGCTCATTTCAGTATAATCAAATAGGTATACTCTAATTACACAAAAAAATTTCAAGCGTGTATCTACAGTAGAGTTTGAGAAAAGGTATATAAAAAATGGCCAATTTAACATTGTCGGCATAGGGGTTTCTGATACCCCTTAATAATATTTTAGTCTACCAATTACTAATATTACTAATATTCGCTGTTCGACTGACACTTGTGTGCTAATTTGAATAGTTCCCTTCCTTAAATCAAAACTCCTTCCCTTTTATCAGAACTTCTTTGCAGCAGGAATATATACAGTGTTATATGGCGTATAATGCGCGCACTGGTAATGCGCATCTATGATTTCAAGTTACATTTTTTAACTTTTAGGTCAATTCGCAGTATAACGCGTCCCCAGTTCTTTACGAAGAAACCTAAAATGTACATGTGCAACGCTCTTATCTTTTCAGGTCGCTTATTCGAAGATTTGTCCTAGCCTGTTGAACAATTGTATACGGAATTGACTAGCGCAAGGGGAACAATATACGTGGGGGTTAAATGCTTGAGGGAGTAAACACTCCTGCAAAGAGAGAGGATTGTATTCAATGCAGAGGCCCAGAAAAATGCAAATTGTCCAAAATCTCTTTTGATAGTCATTTGAAGCCGTGATTTTGAAATGAAAATCGAAGGCTTTATTAAATGGCATTTGCTTTAGTCGAAATACAGCTGATTTGCTTTAGTCGAAATACAGTTGATTTGCTTTAGTCGAAATACAGTTTATTTGCTTTAGATTGTCGAAATACAGTTGATTTGCTTTAGTCGAAATACAGTTGATTTGCTTTAGTCGAAATACAGTTGATTTGCTTTAGTCGAAATACAGTTGATTTGCTTTAGTCGAAATACAGTATTAAATATGACTCCAGCGGAAAGAGATTAACACAGTGCTCGTTCCAAATGCAAAGCCGCTCATTTTGCGAAAGAAAATGAAAATCGTGCTGCATCAAGGGTGTTGACGAAAGGTGGAACGGAGGATTATTTATAGATGGATCAGAGTAACAATGATGGTGCGGCTGAAACAGAATTCGATGATGTGCCTGAAGGTATAACGGAAGACGAAGATGACGAACGTTTCATGTTATCCGATAATGAAAATTTCTAAATTCATAAGGAATGTCATTTCTTATATATATATGTTACCGTGAAAGACCGAAATTGCAGAATGTCGACTTTCACCGGAGAAGGTCAACATTCACCAAGCACGTCGGTGAAAGATCGAATATTTCTTTACATTCTTGTACATTCGGACCCTCACCGGTGTATGTAGACGATCACAGATATGCTCTGGTGTAGGTCGAAAAGAGAGAAGTATATTTACACGCTGCCATTCCAAAAGGAAGTGTTCCACAAATAAAAGCAGTTGTAAAAGCAAGGGCCTCTTGTGCAAGTGTCATAATAGTTTAAGTTGCTGCAACAAATAAGATTTGAATAACATAATTTGGTAAGTTTATAACTTCTATTATTTTCCTTTCTCATTTTGAATGCACTATGTGTTTTAAGTTCTTATTCTGAGCCTCAAGTGCGTTTTTTCGCGAATGAATTACGGAGAAGGAAATATAATATTCTTATATGTTCAACATTCACCATTAGTACATGGTGAATTTCGACATTGACCGGTGTAAGTCAGAAATAAGAGTATTTGGAAAATATTTTGGACATACACCAAGCGACTATGTGAATGTTGACATTCACCGGTGAAAGTCGACATTCTCCAGATTTCGGTGTTTCAACGTAACATATATACGGCTTAAGTGTCTGTTTATCGCCGATAGTTGATTGGTTGCTTTCGTAACTGTACTAGCCAATGGGGTGAAGTTGCCACGGCATTCAAATAGTCCATGTACACTGATACCATACATGCAGTTATTTTTGTTTTAATTAAATTATCATGGTATTCAAGACCATTTAAATATTTTTAATTCATACAATTGTTGCTTATTATACATTTAACTATATTTAGATATGAATTACCTAGAAACTTGCAAACGTTGAGAAATGAAAGGAGACGAAACTAACTAACGAGTTGTGCATAGTACATCTCATCAGGTAGGTCTACCCAAACTAATAATAATAATAATAAACTAATAATGCTAATAATAAACTAATAATGCTAAATATCCTTTCGCGTAAAGAGTTTAAAATTTTGCCCGATTTCATTCCGACATTGTATTTTGAACTGAATTTTTCAGCTGAACGTAAATTGAGCGTATCAGGGACAACGCGAACATTTGTTTGCATTAGCAATCATTTGTTTTTGAAATGGTTTATAGCTGAACGCAAGAGTTCGTGAGTTCCTATTCAAGAGTTCGTGAAAGAACGGACGTAAAATTAAAAATAATACATGGTTCTCTTCGAGCTTAAAAATGATGGAAAGCTCTGCACAAGAAATGTTGTGTACAAAGATATCTTTGACATATGAATTATCATTTTATTATATAAATCGCCTTTATTGATTGAGCTAGCGGTGGCTCTTAAGAAATGTACCGCCAATGGTTTCCTTCACTGCACGCTACTTTAAGCAATTAAGCAAGTAGAAGGGGGGAAACCCCGTGCTGCAGTAAGCAAAGGGGCGTCCTCGCCACCTGCCCTGGGTAATTCAGTTTAAATTAGTAGACACCTTTGCACAAATCATTTTAATTACAATTTATAACATCTAGAACAGCATCTAGAACATTTCGTATGACCGCCGGGCTTTCTAGTTAATATTAAAGGAGGAAAAGGAAAATAGCAGCGTGCGCAATACTAGCGAAATCACGCTCTAAATTGCTTTCTCGTTTCGCCCGATTAAATACTATTCTTCACTTTAACTTAACTTGCATCTTGGTGAGGAAATGGGATGAGAAATGAGGAGTTCAGGAATGATAACAAAAATCAGAAAGGGGAAAAATAGAAGAAGAAGAAATCTGAAAGCTTTCAGATTTTACATTACGCCTTAAAAGGGCGCTTTTTTTTTAATATACAACCTGGGTAATTCAGTTTGAATTCGCAGACACCTTTGCACAAATAATTTTAATTACAATTTTTAATATCTATAACAGCTGTCTTTTCGTATGACCACCAGGCTTTCTAGTTTTTAAATAAACAGCATTTAGGAACATATAGAAATATAATTTTTTTTGTGCTTATTCCTTATTTATAAACCTATCATTTTTATACCGGTGTAAAACGAGCAACCGTAAATTTCGATCTTATTTTTGTGTATTGTAAGTGCGCCTTACACGTCAGAATATACAGTACGTTGTTCATAAGTGTGCTGTCTCTTTCTTATGTGCCATCATCTGTTTCAACGGAGCGTTATTTTCACAGGTACAACTAATTTATAACTACCAGTCTTTGAAAACAAAGTTCAAGATCGTCGTCGTGAAACTGGAAATATTATCGGAGGGTAAGGTAAGTATTTTATTTCTTATGCATAGGTATTATGCTTTCAGTGAATTCTCTCGATGGATGTACACTAAGAATCTTGAGAAGACCTTTTATTACTATCCATTATTAGTTTTTTCTAGGAGCTTTTTTTCTATTTTATTATCTTCTTTAATCTTTATAATTTAATTAAAAAAATTGAATTCTAAAAATTTTCTAAATAACATATTGGTCTCCATATTAATAAGAAACAAATTCATATTTAACCTGGGGTGTCGAAGACTGTTAAAAAGTTTTGTCATAGAGACGATAAACTCATTCTTTTACCATTTTTATATGTTCTTATGAATGACAAAGCAGTTCTACATCTCCCGTTCTACTAGGCCGATTGAATTTTTCATGTCTCAAAACCTTGACTAAGGATATACCGTAATTTCCGGAAGAAACGCCGCGGCGTTACGTACGTGTTTACCCATGCGGTTTTTTATGCATGCACGATGGTCATTGTACATAGTTCCTTTCAATAGTGGTGCTGTTCCCACACAAAAGGTTGTTTTTTGTTGAACTACATTCAAAATCGACATTCTTCTTTTGTTGAATAGTCCCATCATGCATTATGCAATTTTTTTCGCATTTTTCGGCACATTTTCTTTTACGCACTTTCGCATTTCTATTTTTGCATATTTGTAATTATTTCAAAATTTTATATATTTTCTGCATGGGAAATTTTATGGAGAAATTTTTTCAAATTTTTTTACCCTTCTAACGAATTTTTTCAGTTGGACGCGCCAGGAATGATCCACTTGGCGAACTTCTTAATTTTATAGCAACCTATTTTTTTCCTTTCCTTTTCTTCATTGCCCACCAGCGCCACCAGCGGCCGAGCGGTAAAGTCGCTGAACACTGGTAGTTCGGTCCGAGGTTCGAATCATGCGAACGGGCTGGCTGCATGGGCGTTTTCGTGGTTTTCCCCATGTGTAACGTGTAAACGAGGCAGTTTCCCTTAGAAAGTCCTCCACGAAGGCATCCCCCCTTTAGGCAGATAGCCCTCGTGTGCTTTGCCATAATTAAATACACCAACCAATATACCAACATTGTCCACGAGCGGAGAAAGAGCCATCGTTTATACTTTCAAATAATTTTAACAAAATGTGTACACCACATTTTCGTTACTATCTCTTATAATAAATACCACGTATATCTTAGGAAATTTCGAATAAAAAACTCTAATTTTTTGCAGGTATGCTTAGAAATACATCTATTCCCTAGGATGATGGTAAATATTTTATAGATAATACAAAAGTTTTTCGAAATATATATAAAAATTATTTAAGAATACAAATTTAAAAATTAAATCATAAAAAATAGGCGAATTTTATTTGAAATAAACCTAAATTCTGAAATATGAAAGAAAGAAGCAAATACGTTTAATAGAAAGAGATGTTAATAAATATACAGGGTGATCTTTTTTAAAGTGACAGTGTTTGGAGCTCCCTGTAGCTCGATCTAATAGCCGAAATGGCACCGAACTTGGTATTTAGACTAATCAAGACATGGGACATCAAGACATACAATCGTTATTTACTACATTAACTTCCCCGGTGAGGAATTGGACCACATTCAATGTGAGCATCGTTCTCAGAAATAACACCGTGCATTCTGTGCACAGCGTTCTCCACAGCCGTATGTAACATATCACGAGGAATATTCCGCAGTGTCTTTGTTATGTTGTCTTTTAGAATAGACAAATTTGATACTCCACCAACATAAACTTGTATAGATTTCAAATAACCCCAGAGCCAAAAATCGCATGGCGTGAGGTCAGAACGAGGCGTGAAGTCAGGGAAGCTGCGAATGCATTACATTGTTTCATGTAATACAGCTTCACCGGTAACGTGAGAGACATGGCCACTGGAGCTTGTTTACTTCAGCTGAGATTATTTGTCGGAGCTTACTACTTGCTTTTATAGCCCTATTACTGGCGCTGTCATTGCACAACATTTGCATTTTTCTTTGATACCCGTGTTTTATGCCAACTCTCGTTATTGTAAGCTACAGCAGCGCCACAAAATAGCCTAGCGGCGATTTTCGGAACTAATTTTTTTTTTCACGGAATCCTTTTCCCCATGTCTTGATTAGTCTGAATACCAAGTGTGGTGCCATTTCGGTTATTAGATCGCGCTAGAATGCGCTCCAAACACTGTCACTTTAAAAAGATCACCCTCTGCACTGAAGTGACAAAAGTCATGGGATAGCAATATGCAAATATACAGATGGCGGTAGTATCACATAGAAAATTTATAAATGCGAAGTGCTTTGGCAGGGCTTTCATTTGTGTTCAAGTTATTCATGTGAAGAGGCTTTGACGTGATTATGGCCGCACGACGAGAATTAGCAGACTTTGAACGCGGAATGGTAGTTGGAGCTAGACGCATGGGTCATTCCATTTTGGATATCGTTAGGGATTTCAACATTCCGAGACCCACAGTGTCAAGAATGGGCCGAGAGTATTTAATTTCAGGCATAACATTCCACCATGGACAGCGCAGTGGCCGACCATCTGCACTTAACGACCGAAACCAGGGAACGTCTTCGTAGAGTTGTCAATGTTCACAGACAAGCAACCCTGCTTCAAATAACAGCAGAAATCAATGTGGGACGTACGAGGGACGTGTCCAATAGGACAGTGCGGCGAAATTTGTCTTCCTTGGGCTATGCCAGCAGAAGACCGAATCGAATGTCTTTACTGACAGCACGACATCGCCTGCAGCGACTCTCGTGGGCTCTGAGCATATCGGTTGGTCCCTAAACGAACGGAAAACCGTGGCTTTGGTCAGATGAGTCACGATTTCAGTTGGTAAGAGCTAATGGTAGGTTTCGAGTGTGGCGCAGACCCCACGAAGCCATGGACCCAAGTTGTCAACAAGGCACTGTTCAAGCTGGTGGTGGTTCCATAATGGTCTGGGCTGTTTTTACATGGCATGGACTCGGTCCTCTGGTGCAACTGAACCGATTATGACTGGAAATGGATACCTTCAGCTACTTGGAGATCCATTCATGGACTTCACGTACTCAAACAACGATGGGATTTTTATGGATGACAATGCGCCATGTCACCGGGCCACAATTGTTCGCGATTGGTTAGAAGAACATTCTGGACAATTCCGCGAATGATCTGGCCACCTAGATCGCCCGACATGAATCCCATCGAACATTTATGAGACATCATCGAGAGGTCAGTTCGTGCTCAAAACCCTGCACCGTCAACACTTTCACAATTATGGTCGTCTATAGAGGCAGCATGGCTCAATATTCCTGCAGGGAACTTCCAACGACTTGGTGAGTCCATGCCACGTCGAGTTTCTGTACTTCGACGGGCAAAAGGAGGACCGACAAAATATTAGGAGGTATCCCATGACTTTTGTCACTTCAGTGTATATCAAAATCAATTAACAAGGAGGAGCCAGAATTTTGAGAGCTAATTTTTTAAAAACTACTCATGCAATTTTTACAAAACGTGGCAGTATAACATAATTTGAGCCTTAGAATCGAAATATGGAAAAAAAATTGGCATGTCATTGAAAAAAAAGTCCGATTTTGTGTCAAAATACCTATATTAGAACAACGCTATATATATATCTAATAGATATCCTAAGTCGCGCTTTCGAGACCTGAAAAACGCAAGCTGAATTTCGTCATTCGGCCCAGTACAACGGGAGATGTAGAAATGCCCCTTTCTTTTTCCGTAGTGTATAAATGATAGGCATTGTTTCTTGGAAGTCTAATAGAAAATGAACTTTTGTACTTCTTACACTTATCTGTACTTAAGATACTCATCTGGAAATAATTAAAAATCACGAATAAAATGAAATGTATGAACAATATTGATGTTAATCAGGTTTTAACTGGACATGTTAGGTTTCCGTTCTGTTTCAACCGATTTAATCTGCAGGAAAATAAACTATGTAATAGTTGTCAGGTTGATGGTGATTCTAGGCATTTCGTGGTCGATTGTAGTTTAACAGCTCCTATGAGACAGATTTTTAACGTTACTGATTTTAATGTAATTGTCATTAATTTCAAAATTTTTAAATCATATTCTATTGCTCTAATGAAGTTTATCAATGAAAATAGAGCGCTGGTAGGAATCTTCAGTTAAAATTGAACTCTGTCGTCTTTATATGGGTTTTAGATATCTGTAGTGTTCTATGTTCTGAATTTGTGTTTATGGATCTTTTACTTCCTTGTACGAAGTTAAAAGGAAGTATTGTAATCGCGAAATGTTTCAGGCGGCATATTTCAACGAAAATATCCATTTTGACCGCTATCGAATGCAATTTAACGATGTTTTTTGCGTGATATCTGTACGTAAGGACAGAATAAAAGACTCGTTTCCTACAAAAAATTTATAAAAACGCTTTAAAATAATTCTGAAGAGAATTTTTCTTGGCGTCTGTACGAATCATGTACATACGTATCTCGCATAACGCAAACGAGTAGTCGGAACATTGAAATTTTG